CCCGACGGAAACGCCCCGGAGCGCTGGCATACCGTCTCCGTCGACTTCATTGTCGAGCTCCCGAGGCCCATGGGTACGATGCGATCATGGTCGTCGTGGACACCCTTGGGAAGCGAGCCCACTTCTCCGAGTGCCATACCACAGTCGACGCAGTAGGAGCAGCCCGCCTCTACTACCGGAATGTCTGGCGCCATCACGGGACTCCGGAGAAGTACGTCTCCGACCGTGGCTCACAGTTCATCGCAGACTTCACCCGAGAACTCTGGCGTCTAATCGGCATCAAGCCAGCCACGTCCACCGCGTATCATCCGCAGACGGACGGTCAGACAGAGCGCGTCAACCAGGAGTTGGAGCAGTACCTGCGGATCTTCACCAACTATCAGCAGGACGACTGGGATGAGCTGATTCCGGCCGCGGAGTTCGCTTACAACAACCACGTCCACTCATCCACGCAGCAAGTCCCCTTCATGACGGACACGGGACGGCTTCCGCGCATGGGCTTTGAACCCGGAGCCCGTTCCGCTATGGAGTCTGTGAACGAGTTCCGCGACCGAATTGCCACTGGGGTTGCCGAAGCCAAGGCCGCTCACTAAGGCCAAGGAAGAGTATAAGCGCTACTACGACCGGAGACGCACTCCGTCTCCGGAGTTCAAGGTTGGCGACCGTGTTTGGCTGGATGCCTCTGACATCAGGACGACTCGCCCCTCGGAGAAGTTCTCCCACCGCCGCCTCGGTCCGTTCAAGATAGTCGCGGAGATCAGCAAAGGTGCCTACAAGCTCGACCTCCCTCCGCGCTACTCGAAGCTCCACCCGGTCTTCCCCGTCGTCAAGCTCGAGCTCGCCCAAGACGACCCCTTCGACGGACGCCCCGGCTACGACCAGCCCCCTCCGGACCTCGAGGACGGAGTCCCGGAGTGGGAAGTAGAGGAAATCTTGGACGCAAGGGTGAGGTATAAACGGCTGAATTACTCGTCAGATGGAAAGGCTACGACGCGTCGCACAACCAGTGGGTCCGCTTCGACCGTGTCGCGCCCGGACAAAATCGGAGTTCTACCGTAAGTACCCTGGCAAACCACGGCACATCGCCTCCGCGACCTTCGACTCGATTCCGTTCCGGTCTATGTGTCGGGACGCCGCATTCAAAGGGGGGTGATGTCAGGGGAACCTCCCTTTCGGCCCCTCGGAGACGATTCCGATTCCGGTCCGACTCGGTTCCGACTCCGGTGATCGCATCACCGCCTCCGTCAGGCGCATCGCCGCCCGCGCCTGGCGATCCCCCTGGGACCTGGCCTGCGACATGGCGCAGGCATACTGCACGGAGCAACGATCAACCTTGGCGCGTCAAGAGCGCAGTATATAGTTCCGCTACCTAGCAGGCGGACCCTTAGAGTTTCTTCTCTTTGGATCCTCCCCTGCTAGGTCAGCCTCACTTGTATTTGCTTACTTCTATTCACTCTTTGGATCCTCCCCTGCTAGGACCTTGATCTCAGGCCTCCGGGGTTGCCCTTACAATCACATACAGCACCTACTCAACAATACAGGACACAACCTTCCAACTTCCAGATTTCCAGGGAATCCTGATACATCCTCCAGCCCAACAGCCTAGTAGCTCATTGCTATCATTTTACTACTCCCCTGGAGCAAATAAAAATGCCATGACATCAAATCTTCTTGAAGAGTTACATCAAGATATACCAACTATGTAAGTGGCAAACAGTCATAACAAGAAACAAGATGCTCAATAATTATAGGAGCCTGGACCAGCAAATGGATCCCAGTCCCACCAGGTAACAAATGAGCTACAAAATGTCATAAAACATTTACTAACAATAATATAGTGCTCATTTGCCTATCTCACCAGCTGAGCCACAATATTCCAGTTGGGCAACAAATATGTATGAGTCTTATTGGGTAATATATACTTCCACTAATCTATCATAGCATGGGGGACTGGTATGGCTTTTTTATAGGTGCAGATAATAAACCATGCAGTGGAATGTTTTGTCTAAACCTTTGCCTATTACTGAATTCTGAAGATTCCAATTCTGCCAATATAACAGGAACTGGGCCTTCGAGTGGAATAGTCCATGTTGGCTATACTCAGGAGATAGGGATAATTCAGGGAACAGCTACATTCTCACAGGAGTCCTCTGGCATACACCTGGTCTTTAGTCTCCAGTTTCAAGCTGAGGATTTCCATTATGAGACTTCTTTAAAACCAGGTTTTGAACTGGATTTTATGACTGGAACCTGTCAGAGTATGTCTAATCCATACTCTGGAACCAACACTTTCCTGGCAAAGAAATTGCCTTTTGATTTTATCCTATCTCACAGACCCCTGGTACAGAGGAAGCTCACTACACAAGAGGCATGGAATTTGCTCAAAGATAGTATCTTTGCCAAATTTAAGCGACAGACACTTGGCATTTCTTATATTGCAGAGCGGCTCAATAAGGTCAAAAGATGCATGCAGCTTCTCTACAGGTGTAAAAATCCTGCTGAAGTAGAAGAGCTCAAGAATCTTCAGCAAATATTCACACCAACAGAATACTTGGAAATTACTTTGCTGTCAGAGTGGTATGTTAGGGCAAGTAATCCACATCAGTAAGTTGCAGAACTTTCTTAGTTAATAACTACAGTGTTGAATCACCATAGGCCACTTCTCTGTGATGGATGTCGAGAGTATATTGGACGCTCAAGAGTCATTTGTTTTGATTGCCAAGTCAAGGATAATAGTGTGGAATTTGACTCTAGAGAACAATGTATCCAAGTTCAAACTCTTGCAGAGGATCCTAGAGGAAGACCAGTACATTCAACAAATCATCTACTATTGAAGACCCGAGACCGTCTTTTACTATATTCTTATCCAGCTATCAAAGGACGTGCACAAAGCCGTGCAGCTTTTGCAGGTCATCTTTGGAAGTTTGCAAATGGGGACAATAAACAGGAGCAACTCCAGAAGTTGCTTGACATTGATAATCCCTCTACAGGTGTTATACCTGATTTAAGAGACAGTAAAAGGTCTCATTTGGCTATGCTTAGCAAAGAAGGGAATATATCACCATTGATTGGAACCCTGCCACCCTTGGCCACTAATGATCTGCAAGAAAAAGAGACACTTGACAAAGTATTAAATTCCAGTGATAGTGCCAAGATCAAATCTGCAGAGACTAGTAGTCAAGTTGAAGAAGTCTCACCTTCAAGTGACATTCCAGAATCTGTTTCTGAACAGAATGTTGAGATCAGTCTTAAATGCTTGATATGTCATGTTCAAGTCTCAAAACCATGCTGGTACTGTATTGACTGCCAAGGTAGTTGTGTTTGTATATGTTTGACAAATTAAGAACTAATCATAATACCATAGACCCAGATGCATTTGTCTGTTCTGCATGTGAGCTGGAAATTGAAGACCTCTATCCTTGGGAGTACATTCAGCGTCTTCGGAAGGAAATTGGATATAAGCAACTTCCACCAGCACCAAGAGGAGATCATCCTATAGTTGGGAGTGAAGCTTATATTGGACCCCAATCTTATCCTGAAAGCAAAACATCAAACCACAATGTGCTTCATATGCTAATACGCTTTGGAAATCCTGCTATCCAAAATCAGCCAAATAATAAATCAGATATGCCTCCCATTATTGCTCAAGCAGGCTTGCAGAATCTAGCACAGGATAGTAAGCAGCTTCAGGAACAATTAAATGGAATTCAGAATCGGTTGGAGCAAGTAGAGGGATTGCTTTATAGTGTTTTAGAAAAACTGAAGTAATTAGCTCAAGTATGATAGTTGGCTAGTCCATCCCTCCAAAGACATATATATATTATATATATTTATATATATGTCTTTGTCTTGTCTTGCTCTAACATATAATTTTCACAAGAATTTAAAAAACTAAATAAGCATCACTAAGTATATATATATATACTGTCATCAGCAAATATTACCAACTCTGAGATTACATAATGTTCATGGAAAGCCTGGATGCTTAAATCTGCAGGTTTAGTTATGTACACTCTTGTAATCCCATAACTAGTGTTGACGTGCTTACTCACAAAATGAGCAAGAGACAAAACAGGCAAGTGCTTCAAACTGCTTCACTGCTCCAAAAGGCAACAGCTCAACTAGTCAGAGAGGCAGAGAGATGGACAGAAGTGGACAGAAGTGGGAGAATGACTATTCTGGAACATAACTAGACCACTACAGGCTTTTTATACTAAAAGCTTTTGGAGCTACTAAATAAGAGGAACAGAAACTAGGAACCAAAAGGAACACAACTGCCAGAGTGCTCCAGAAGGACAGCACAGCCGGCGGATCAATGATGACTAAGTGATGCTGACGAGACTGGAGGCTCGTCAGTATCATATTTTCCCTTTTGAGAAGCCCAAGCAGTTAAGTAAGTATCTAAACATTGATGTGTCATGGCCTGGGGGCCCGGGGCTAGTTAAACTGAAAAAATCTTATCAAGGTACTTGGATGCGCTCGGACGGTCCGAAAGAGGGGTTCCCCTGACAGATACCACCTGGGAGGTACCATAGTAAAATGAATTGTTGATCTCATCTCAACACTAGGACCCCAGCTATCTTTATTGTCATTCTAAACTACAACTTGAACAAGTAAAATTTGGAATACCGCCCATGTCATTCTTGCCAGTGGGCCCAGGCCACTTCTCCTGATTTAGCCATGTCGCACATTGACCGACTATACCAAATCCACAAGAAGCCGGCCCCGTTGGTGGAGGAATGGAAACGTGTCTGTCACCTGCCTGACCGCGCGTGCACGCAGGTTGGCCCGCCACCGCCCATGGAAGTCCAACTTTGAGTGCAGGCGCACGGTCACTACTGGCCCGGACCCAGCAGTTCCTTCCGGGTCCAACGCGAGGATATGAGCGTCGAGCTCATGCAGGCGCGCGATGAAGAACAGGTCGGCCTCGTTATGTGTTGGGAGTTGGATATTGAGGATGATCTTACTGAGCTGGGGGGTTTCGGGAGCAGCGGGCTGTGTCAAAGAGCGGAAGAGAAGGATAACCCAGGTTTGGTATTCAATGCGCACGCTCGAGCGGCCCCTAACCGCAGCAAGATACTGGCAGGGGGGAGGGCGAGCGTCAGTTCTACTGTCCGCAGATTTCTAAGTGGCCAGTGCATCGGGAGGTATATCCGGTCTGAAGCACTGGAGTGAGATATATATTACGCGGAAGCGAGCATGATAAACAAACCGACGGCGGTACACTGCAATTGGAGGTGATCCAGTGATTTGAGCGCCCTTAGGATAGAATACGCTGAGTATAACTGCGAGGTGTCGTCAAAGGATATTTCCAGGCGGCAAAGATGGGCGAAGAGCAGTGGCTGGTTAATGAGACATGTTGAGAGGCGCTCTGTAGGCTGACCAATCTGCAACACCTGCAATGGGAAAGCGACCGGGCTCCGAGTCGGAATCGCTCTCCCGTCCAGCTCCGAGTCAACATCTGCCAGGGAGTTGGATACCTCAAGATGGGTGACTAGGCTGTCCCGCAGCACCTCCAAATGCCCACAGGTGACCCCAAGACCAAACTTGCAGCTGCATAGGGTGACGTAGATACACCCAGATGTCCCTTGAGCAGCAGGCCGCAATGCTGGGACGCAGCCATGCTCGAGTATCATGGTCATCACGTGACCCGCGAAAGAGATGATTCCATATGTGTCGAAGAGTTGGATGGAGAGAAACTTGAAATGAAAGGAAGGGCGTGCGCCCCAAAGAATACGGGCGGAAATGGCACCGTACAGCGCATGTGGGGCTGGTGTTGCTGACTTCAAGTTGCCGCAAATGCATGACTCAGATTCAGCAGCGCAGACAACCATCCACAAGCTCGAGAAGAAGTTCCATGGTCCCCTTGCGGCAGAAAGCGCGGGAGCCGCATATATATGCTCCATTTTTGTCAAAAAACGACGGTTTCAATCGCGCCCGCAACCACTTTGGTTTCATGTGCCCTTCGCGCTCCACTACATGGCCAAGTCCGAGTCTGCGCCAAAGAGCGTCAGATGGACACCTTCCAGTCCGAAATTCGGGGAGAAGTTAATTTGACGGAACATGTGGTACGGCTGTACAAGAAGGTCCGCTCATTAGAGGGCATCGACAGGAATAGAGGGAGTTGTTTCTGGATTAAGTCGTCGGGGAGTCGTCACGCGTGACATGGTAATGATCTTGAGCGGGAAAAGAGGTATTTCGGGCGCTTGGGAGGCGGAGAGCAGGGGAGCGGCCGAGATGTAAGGCGTGGATTATGGTGAGATGCTAGTGCTTTGGTTGGGCTGTTCGTAACGCAGATCGGCAACGATAGCTTGCTTGCGATAAAATTGGTCGAGGGCGTCGAGGCAGCGGAAGATGGGTGTGTGTGGGGTACAAATGAATGGAAAGCGAATTGGCCAATGGGTGTGGTCATATGAAGGATGTGCAGTAGACACAGGCTGGAGGGACTGTTGAGGAAGGCAAGGGGGCTGCAATAATGTGGTGTTCGCGCAAAGGGCAGATATGGAGTATGAACAAGTTATATTTCTTCGACAGAGGGCCTGTCATGAGCCTGTTAGGTATAGGATAAGCACAGGATATCGACCGAAACGCTCAGAAACGCACCTTGAAAGTCGATGGCTGCGCGTTATTTAATCGTCCTTCTCCTCTTGACCGTCTCCGCCCGGAATTCTCTCTGCCTTCAGCATATAGTGTGCCCGGGCCAGGCAGCGGTGCACTTTCACGCTCTTGACCAACTTTCTAGAACCGGTCCTTTGCAAGCTATTTGTAGCTGCATATGGGGGTGGCCAATTGAGATGGCATACGCTTGATTGAGAGCAGCTTGCCTCATTGTGCGGAAGGTAAACAGGGCAGTGGCGGAGTTGGAGATGAGGGTACTCCGGGGACCGTTTTCGCCATCGACGTGGAGGACAAGCAGGAAAGTGTGTGATTCAGACGTCACGTGGCAAATCTACTCGTTTCTCTCGCCCACATTGCACCGTTGGACAAACTCAAATGATGGACCACTGGCGCGTATTGTAATCCAGAGCGGCTCAGTCCTCGCTAGCCCTGAGAGTCGCTATTGTTGTCGCGTTTAAATCCTCCGCCACGGCGACGGACGACCCGCTCCACAGCTGCCGGACACCAGCCGTGCATAACGAGCTCCAACTCTCTCGTCAATCACTGATACTCTCCCGCCCTTGGCGTCTCTCTTGCTCCATATGTGCTAAGCATAGCGCGCAGATACTGCAATCGCTCCCTCAAACGCCGGCGCCGTCCGGTTGCTTTTTCTTCTTTTCCCTCTTACCTGCCAGGCGCTTGACCCTCGACTCGCAGGACGCTAGTGCTGCAATATTAATGGCCACTAATTCCGACCCCGTCAGCATCATCGTCGACGACTGGACGTTGACCAGACTGCAAAACTTCGCAGGGGGCTTCGGCGTGCCTGGCTCATCGTACCCTGCGCGATACAACGACACCATGCTAGTCCTCGTCCCACAGGCGAACTCCTCTCTTCACGAGCTCGAGCCCTGGCTACTTCAGTTTTCTGGTTGGTCTCAAATACCTCCATTCTTCCGGCTAATCGATGGCAGGGACCTCGATGTCGCTGTATGGCGTAACACCGCCCACCGCCCCGTCGACGCAAGGCGTGCCCTACAACCAGACTATCAGGATTAGCGACTCCACACGTCCTGGCGCCAACGCAAACGACCTCAGCACGTACCAACCCTACACATACCCCGCGCCAGCCACACTTGGCCTGATCTTCTCGACGGGGACTGCGTCAACTGCAGGCACGCTCCGTCTCGGCCTTACCGGATTTCTAGGACTCGGCGTAGACTACGTCGTCATCCAAGCTGGGGAGTTCACAAATGTGGCGGGGCAGACGATGCTGGTGGACGACATGAGCAAGGAGATACAGTGGAATGGGGCGTGGACCGTGAAGAGCGACTACCACCTCCAGGGCAACTCGATCCTTCCCCCCACATTTGTCACCGCTTTCTACCCACATAACAACTCCACGCATACGAGCGCAAAGGTGGGCGACTCGTTTGTGTTCTTGTTTTCGGGTGAGTGAACCAATTTTGAAGTAGCCATTGACTTAGCATCCTGATAGGCACGTCTGTGTCGGTACACGGTATTCTTCCCGCCAGCGCGACCACCGACAACTGGGAACTCAACATGAGCTTCTCCGTCGACGGCAACTCCACCACCAAGTCGTTCACCGCGAATGCCGCCAAAAATGGCATCGTCGGCCCACATTTCGTGTACTTCGCGACGCCAACGCTCGCGGGTGGGAACCACACGCTCATCGCCACGATCCTCGATGTTGCGGGCCCTGCAAACCCAGCGGTGCAGATCGACTATATAACATACGCCGGGGACTTTGCTACGCCGCATGATAGGCCGCAGTTTACGTTCCCGCCGCCAGCCAATGGGTCGCCGTCTTCATCGACTACCGCCAGTAGTGTGGGGACATCCCCGACAAATGCACCAAAACACGAAGCTTCAGGCGCTGCAATCGGCGGGGGCGTGGCCGCTGGTGTCGTTGTCTTACTCGCCCTCGTTGGCATATCGTTTTGGTGGTGGAGAAGACGTAGAACGCGGGGCGACATTGTTGCGGACCGAACGGGTGAGTGGGACTTGATGCAAATTTCCAAATCTGACTAGTGACTAGCGCCAGATCCTTTTCCTGTCGAAGGGCCCGATATGCGGAGCACCACGACCGCCACGGCAACAGAGGTGTCTTCCACGAGTCCGACTTCTAGCGCGGGTCGGACACGGAGGCATACAGCAAAGTACGCAGCAGTCCCTATCGCCGTAGGCAACGCCCATTCGACAAACGATGTCGATGAGCGCATGCGGCGCCTCCAGCAGGAGATGGACGGCCTGAGAAACGAAATCCGCAGCCGCAATTCGATTCCGGCGACGGCGCCGCCAGCGTATACGGATGGCGGGGAATCAGAATAACACCCTATGCTACCTTCGGTATAGCGAGCTGGAGATGTAATGTACTGCACATAATAATGGAGCTTATATGTAGGAGTAGTGGTGCGTCGGAAGGAGAAATGCTATCAATAAGGGAAGATGATGAGTTGGGTGCCAGAGGGTAAATTGTGGGATTGAATAGCATATAACAAAGCTTGACCGCAATTGCAGAGCACAAAAAGACGAATCAGAGCACCACACGTCGAAAGACGAAAAATTGTGGATTTTGGGCCAAGAGGGCGCCGAACCGAGCACCCCTCCATACAATATCGAGGTGGGAAGAGTAAGCACAAGAGGTGAAGATGCCATAACATCAGAAGATACGGTCCATCAGGTGTCGAGGGAGATATATCGAGCGTTTTTTTTTTTTCATCACTTCTTGGCGAAATCTTCAGAGGAAGTGTGTCAATGCGCGCATGACACTCAGGAAGGCATCAGGGGTAGTAGTTGGGGATGACGAAGAAGTCGCATGAAGACTCGCTGGTGCATTTCGGTAAAGCTGCTAAAGCGGGCTTTGCGACCAAGCGGGGGAACGAATGGATCGATGCAGCGCGTTTCCGAGCCCGGCAACAGCATGGCATGCAGCCCTAGCATCTCTCACGGAGCCCTATACAAGCGAGCAACAGTCGACGGCGTGAAAACGCGGAATTTGGCCAGAAGGTCGTGAGAGGCAAGAGCGGACCAACGAGCACCTTCCCAACCAAAATGGCAAGAAATATATGCCAGTATGAAGTCTCGAGATGAGGAGGGCGTGTCGAAATAGTCTGTCATCGGGTGGGGAACAAGATAGGGTCGAGGACTTTTTTTTGGACGTGACCGTCACAGCGTGACAAGGGCAAAAAGTCGAAAGGATGTGGAATGGAGATTGCAAGATGGTTTCTTCGGACTTGTGAAGGGTCGAGTTCCATGTGAATGGTATTTGTGAATGGTATCGAGACCGTAGATATAAAGCATCATCTCTTCGGATTGAAAACTGGACAAGTATTCGTCCTAGGGTATGCAAGTGTCACGATTCAGATGATATTGCTGCAAAATGCCTCAGTCGAGAAGGGGAAAGATATAAGGCGACATACCTGCTGCCTATGAATCCTTCTATTACTTGGTTGCGTTCCCGACAATAATACAGAAAGAGGTGGGTGGACTGGACCCTGACGGATGAGTTAACGAACTTTGAATGGAACGGCGACAAACGAGTGGAACTCACAGTCAATCAAAAGCCGCGCACTCATACTGCAGGTTTTCTGCCCCTTCACATTCAGCTGTGGATGTGACCAGCCAGCCATCTTTGACGTTCCCAAATGGCGCGTTCCGACCAATTCGCCAAAGTAGCGGAGGAGGAGTGGAGCAGTCTCTATGATACAACGTCAGCGGAAAGCTCACAAAGCGGACATACTGCTACTAGCCCACCTGAAGTTGGTGTTCTTCATCGCTGTCCGTGCCCTGTCTGGAGATTCCCTTTGGAGACGATTTCATGTATGAGTCGGGGGCAGGGGCAGAAAGCGGCGCTGCGGGTCGAGAAGGGCCCGTGGCCGATGTACTAGTCGTATCCGAACCCGCAAATGCTGGAAAACGGTCCCTTGAGCACAGAAAAAAGCAAGAGGGCATAAGAAGCCGAAAGCGTACCGCATAAGGGGCTCTCGTCGGCGCGGACGGCCTGGGCAGACGCAGTGCCAGCCTGGGCTGGTTGCGTGAGTGATTTGGAGGGCGTGCGTCGTTCGGAGGTGGTGGGAGGAGGAAAGAAAAAATGATCCCCGCCACATGCGCGTGATCACGACTTCTTTCATCCTCTGTCCGTTGCTATTAAACACGCGCATGGCGATACACAACAACGAGGGCAGGAGTTTTTGTCGTAGCAGAATGAAATCTTTGAAGTGAGTTGTTGTTGGTGGCTGGACATCGAAAACTGACACGCAGCTCACCATTCTCAAGCCGCTCATCGAAGAGCTGAAGCTATGGATGTAAAGCGCTTCATTGTGTCTTTCTATGGCGCTCAATGAATACCCGTCTATCGCTCTTGTGGTCATTTGGTCACGACCATTGGCAATGAATACAAAGGTACAAAGCCACAAAGGAAATCCGAAAGGCTTTTGCCTCCGCCTGCGACTATAAAGTAGCCTCCGCTGAGCGTCCGCCCGACCATCAAACTTGTCCGCACAAGCAACCATGTCCTCTGCCCCTATTGCGCAAACTTTACTCCAGCCATTTTACGATTTCGACGCTTTTCTCGCGCACATCGCAGGCATACCCACTGGCAGACGCATCTATGATACTCCGCGCGCTAAGGCATTCGTGGAGGAGTACCAGCTCGACATAACGCTCGCCCAGACGGCTGCATGGGTCTTTTCTGTGTTTCTCCCTGTTGCCTTGCAGGTTAACCAAAAGCGGCCATGGCTTTTATTGCTCTTGCGCGCGTCCTTCGCCTGTATCTTTGCCCAGATGGCCGTGAGAGTGCGCAATGGCTGGACATCTCATCCACGGAAGGAGGCAGTGACAACTGCTTTTGTGGTCGCCCACCCGTGCGTTTCCAATATATTTCCCTTCCGGTGGAGTCCTTACTATTTATTCCACCATTGTAGGCTTGGTATTGCGATAAAATACTCGTCCGACGCGTCGTCTCCGTACCTCTTGTCGCTCCTACAATGTGCCCTGCCAATGACGGGACTCCTGGTGCTAGAAGTTCTCTGCATCATTACTCTACGGTTCGCGTTCCCGGGCTGGTGGATTCGGCGAGCGGATGCGCTGAGACGCCTTCGGCGCCCGGGGCCTAGCATCTCCCCCCACGTCGCCAGGGTGTTGTCTGCAACTATCCGACGTGCCTAATTTCGTCTTTCAATCTTAAAAAATCATGATTGGCAAAAAAAAAAAAAAGGTGTTATGTAGGTCCTTCAAGTTTAAGTATCGCACTCAGCCTAACTCCTCTTATAGTTAGAATCAGCACTCTTTCAAGTTGGTCTGTATATATACTATATACTAGTACTCTTATAAAATGGAAACCAGTGATTGACATTCATTGGTTATTCAATTTCTACTAGTAAAGGACGATCGCACACATTTCTAGTCGTCCAATGTCAACAAAAGCGGGTAAAGCCACACCAAGCAGTGCTGCAGTGGGGATCTCGGCCCGTTCATTACTAATGATCGCGACGGAATCGAACTATGTAGTAAACGGTATCCGTTAGCGATCGTAACTTGCTTCGGCTTGTGCTCGGACTAGGACGCAGGCTCGGTGAGAAGGACAGCTGCAAGACTCCGGTCTGCAAATAGTACATATCCATATGGTGGTACAAATACATTGTGTTGTTTAACTGCAAGTTGAATAAATAATGAATAAATTAAATTTCCAGTAAATCCAAGCCTTGAAGCGCCGCGGCGGCTACTGTGGCCATGCGCAGGTGCAGGCGCCGAATGGACAAATGCCACAGCTGGGATACATTTAGCACGCTTAGCTCTGAGTTTATCAAGAGGAAATTAGACTCACTTAGAGAGCAAGCCATGGGTTCTCAGGCTAACCACATCCGGGAAGTTGCTGTGCTCTGGAGTGGGAATGCGGGTGACCGGGAGCCCAGACGACATGAACGGGAGTGCCTCCGGCGATCGTCGGATGGGGCCAAAATCCAGCCCACGATGACCGTATCTGGCAATCGAGGGCCCGACCATACTGGTACTATGCATGTCGAGGTCCGTATGTCCTACGTTACCCAGCAAGCTGTGGTCATATGGCGAGAACGGCGGCGCGGTATTGCGTCTAGCATATGGCTGATTGTGCTGGAAATGAGTCGGAGACGAGGAGGAGGAGGCGGCGTGCTGAACCCCATGTTGAAGCTCGTCATTGGGTACGTTGGTCCGGAAGGCGGGAAGTTGATAGGTGGAAGGGACGCGGCCTCGATGTTAAAACTTGAATCGAAGGGACGAGTCGTATAGGCAGATCCACTGAGGCTCAAGTCCAAGACGGCCAGTGGATCTGTGCCATTGAGTAAGCTCGAGTATTGCGAGGCGTCGATATCCGGCATTGACCAATGCCTGTTTGGGGAAATCGCCTCGGACGTCGCATCGTGGAAAAGTGTTATCGGCGACGGTGTGCCTGTGGACGTTGACCCGGGCCCGATTGCGCTTGGACGCGCGCTGTGACGGCTTCCCCGCGTACGGCGACGCCGGTATTCGCGCTGGTCCGTCACCGTAACGTATTCGCATCGCAGCCCTTTCTCTGTGCATCTCTCGCAGGGATTGACTGGGGACTCCTCCGAGGTCAAGCACTAGAAAATACATAAGTCTAGACCTTCGGAGTGTAATAAAACACACACCCTTATTTTCCGCTTGCGGCAGTTGGTGCAAGCGATGATAACCCTCCTTCTCTTGGTGAAGAGCGCAGCCAGTTCCGGGCTCGGTGGAGAGTTATCGGCGGCCATGACGAGGGACGAGGGCTTCAAGCTGGGATTGTTGGACGAGGGAACATGACGCAACTGGATCTGGTTATATACCCGACCTTGTCATCCGAGGCGCATCGCTGGTGCTGCAGCCTGGCCGTCACAACGAACAACAATACCCTATCAGCTGCTCATCAAACTTGAACTGCAAAATGAGTGCATTCTTACCCCGCATGTTGGGGCCAGCAGGAAACTTGACGATAACACAGCACAGAGCTAGCCCATCCGAGGAGTAAGCAGAAAGCCTGGCGTCTCTAACGTCACAGGAACGTCCGTCGCGGGCAATTTGATGCCGTCGATGCCATCCCGATCAGTATATGAAAGGAGGACCTTCGGATCGGAGCCGTAATTTGGTGGTTGCGGCGATTCGCGATTGGATCCGTGAGATTTGCCGCTGGTCGTCGGTCCCTCCGCATCCCCACTGCCATACATGCGGTCGTAGGCTCACTGCGCCAGCTTCATACCCGTTGTTCGAACATGCGAAGTCATGATCCTTATCCAGGCTACTCAAATCGCCCCTTCCAATGCCGAGAGGATGTTGTCCCTGGAGGGCATGTAAGTCTTATATTATATCATCAACCACATTCCACACGTACTCAAGTTCAAGTTTGGCCTTCTCTTACCGTCAGCTCAACTTGAAGCCAAAAGGAAGGTCAAGCTGATCCATTGAAGACGATTGAATAGCCTCAGGGTTAGAGAATCTGCGTTAGAGAATCTGTTGAGTACTTGCGTTAGATCCACGCTCGAGCAGTGAGCACAGTACCGCTGACATGGGCTCCGCGACCCACACACGCTGACGCGCCGTCAGTCACATCGAGGTTGTCGTGTAACCCCCGCCGAATCAGATCGCGAAGGCGGTGTCGGCGATTCCCATTAGGGCAATCTAAATTCAGTGTAAGATGAAAGCGTGGGCAGTCGTGACGCCAGCGCAGGCGATGGCGGGCGACTCTTTGGTTGCTGCGAACAGACTTCGAAGTTCGTGCCCCCTTGATTGTACTGATCAGGAAGATGTGCATGATCTCCACCCAATCTTTCAGTGGCAGGGATCATGATAAATTGGCACAGTGCTGTCTTTGAAGTCGCCGTGACTGTATGGTCGGAGAGCCCGGGCCTGAGCGACAGTGCCTCCGTCGGGAGTAGTCGGGGAGCCCGTCAGAGGTCCAGCTTTTCTCTCCTTGCATCTATCATCAAGGTTTTGAAACTTGGCGAGTCTAGGGCGGGAAAGAATGGACTCACTTGTCCAATCGCGCTATTACTAGCAATTCTCGGTCGTTGCTCATCTTAGCAAGCACGCCAATCACAAATTATGATAGCATTCGCGAATTCGCGTGGTGTCGTTAGGTCATAGTCCAAAGAGAAGAAAGTAGCATGCTACCACTGCGGTCCAACAAACAGCATCCATCCCGTCAAGTCGGGGTTCGGTGCCAGCCCACGGAAAAACAGCTGCCCGCTGAGATAGTCCATCCTCCGCAGCCCGTCGTTCTTCAGGTGCCCGCCACGCAGCCGGAACTCCAGTCGCGCATGTGCTTGTGTTTGCCTGCTCCATTTCTGGACTTCTCGTGGAAAGACCAACTCGAGGAAGTTGGCGGTTATGGCGTTGAATATGTCGCGTATGCGTATGCCGCTCATATTTATCACAAAAAACTTCCACGGGAGACGAGCTGCGGCGAGGCCAAGGCCGCTGACATACATGTGTGTGACAAGGGGAAAAGTCGCTGGCTGCGCCAGGTCCTGAGCGGAGAGCGGAAATGCGGCATCGTCGGGCCCTCCATATAACACACTGGCATCAGCGCCTTGGCGGATATTCCAGAAAATTGGCGCCGGACCGGTGACGGCGGCATGGAGGAAGGGGTTGAGATGGAGTTCCCAAGGAAATGGGAGAGGTTCGCCATGGAGCGGGACATGCCACGTCGGCTTGGGCGGTAGTGCGGGGTGTTTGATGCCGCGAACCCAGCGCTCAGGGTATACCCCACCGCGGGGACTACGAAGACTGTCGAATACTTCTTGCACGTCCACCTCTTCCGGGTCCAGTTCGCGATAGGGAGTGGGACTATCAGCTGACACAGATATCAGGGACATGTATTATTGTACGTTAAGATCTGACTCACTAAACGTGTTGTGGACGTCCACACCATTGACACTTGGTCGTGAATACGCCGCAAACGCTCGCCAGTCAGCAGCCGTAGGAGGCTCCCCGATGTCAGCGCTCCGCAAAAACAGTTGAGGTCCCGGTGTAACATTGGCGGGAGTACTAGTAAGTTTCGGGAACTCTCGGGGGAGCGCTTCTGTACCATTGGCCCCTTCGAAGCGGCAATTAGCATGTAATCACACAAGAAGAGGGAACTCTCACCGCCAGACCTCCTTCGAACAAGCCTCTTTAATCGCGCCCACCCGCGGGCTCGCTCCGGCTGCTTGATCGTCGCCGACTGTTCTTTCAATAGCTCTGGGAGCTGGATCGTGGCGGGCTGATTTGGAGCCGGCGAAGCGACCCAGGGTGTATCCAAACTGGTGATATTCCTGGGGAAGGCGAGCTTGGGCCACGTCTTGTACGGCGGCCAGAGGTCTTCAGGCAGCTCTTGCATTGTGTGGGCAAGTGGGAAAGGGGACACGAGGCACGGCCCGAAGAAGCGCCCAATCGATCACATATGCCTACCAATGAGTCAGAGCAATCTCGAAGCACGTGCATCTTCACTTTCATGTTAGCGTTGCGTCTGGCGCAACGAACAAGAAGGGGAAGAAGGTCTGCTCGATGAGTGGCGGGATTTCGTGAGTGTTGGATGACCAACGATGTGTCATGATGGTGACGGTTACGTGTGATGATTGATATCATCATTCCTCGTGACGGCAAGAATCTTTCCGTCGACCTACTCTCACACCACAATAATCTCCAAGTGCTATTCTTCAGAACCCGACATGGGCGATCGTATCCCGCCTGAACTTATCCACCTCATCGTCGACCACGTCAAAGACCGCGAATCATTGAGAGCTTGCTCCCTTGTCGCGCTCATTTTCCGCGCCCCGTGCCAGCAACGACTGTGGACAACGATGGCATTGAGAGTACAGCACGATGCCGCTATCGTAGAGCCTCTACAGTATCCCCACTCCATATCTACCGCCAAGTCTACCCTCGAGGCCTGCCCTCACCTCGCAAGTTACATTACTTGCTTGAAGCTCACCATCGTGCCGGAAACCACGGATTTCGCAGCCGTGGGGCTTGCTAGTACTATCAAGCTACTTCCCAACTTGACAAAAGTCTCCCTCTATCCACTCAATGAAGTAGAAACGAGCTGGACGGACATTCCCGACGCTTTGCGGTCCGTAACCGAATCTCTGCTTGAAATGCCCACTCTGCGTCAAGTCGAGCTTGCCTTCTTCTTCGCGGTCCCGCGTCAGCTCTTGGGCAGGATATTTGCGGAGTCGCGTTGTGTATACTTGCGGGGAATCTATCTTGAGCACCATAAAAACGCCTCCGAGCAGCCATCGTCACCAAGCTCTTTAGAGCGCTTCAAGACCAGGACCATTGATATCGGCTACTATTTCCTGCCGCTCCCCTTCCTGCAGCCCTACTTCTGCTCGCTGCGCGCGCTGGTGTTGATTAGTCATCGCGAGCTCGCGATCAAGTTCGTCAGCGTGCTTCAGCCGCTGCTTCAAGTTGCAGCTACGAGCCCGTCCCTCGAATACCTCTCGATCGAACTTCCAGGTGTGTACTCTTCTAGATTCCAGCTCTTGCTGACCGTGACCATCACCGAACAGACTACGGAAAAAACCCGCACGGGAACCGGCGGAGGCTGCAGCTCCCTCCGTTCAAGCGCCTGCAGTATTTGCAGGTAGTATATGAATACGACTCGATCGACAGCCTCCACGAGCCCCCGGCGTTGCTGCTTCCCATCCTGCACATCGCCGAAAGTGCCCCCGTCCGCGAGCTCTGTCTCTGTTCCGACGTCTGCCACACAGATGACCAGCCCCCACAAAGAACGCGGGCAGCAACAGACCTCGATTCTTTCCTTGCGCGATTTCTGGAGTCGGGAGAGCGACAGGCGCGGTGTGTCCCGAGTTGGAGAGTCCAGGATGAGATAATGGATTGGCCAGCGGAATATCGCGCCATGCTCGGTCGATCGCTGCCGCGAGCGTCCCAATTGGGACTACAGGTGGTCAGTTTCTCCTCTGAGGGATGGCGGGAACCGATGGTGGAGTTTTGACGCTACTATACTTTTGATTTCCCTATTGAATTTGAATCGAAATCTTTACATACATACATGTACTCAAGGCCTTTTCCGTAGGTGAATCTTAATCGAGACATGTACGTTTAGAAGAAACAAAAGATATAGTAGCCATATAGAGGTTATGGTTATTATACCGTCGTAGTTCTGGAGATATCGGAAGAGTATAATGGATCTTGAATGATCCAAGTAGGGAGACGATGCAGTGGATGAAGAGAGTGCGTCGTATGAGGTTCTTCAATTTCTATCCTGAATACATGGGCAGAAAGAGTGAGACACGCGAGGTGGATTCTTCATTCGACCGTCAACTCCCTCCGCGCGGAACCATACTCGCTGGATGATAGCAGTGGTCGAAGAAAGTAGTGTACATCTTGGATTCGACAAGACGATGCCAGGTTCTGCCTTGCGACCTTCGAATTCTAGCGAAACCGGCAACCTCGCGAAAGTGCAGGTTGGGGGAGACACGGGAAAAAGGGTGGGGATGGTTGTAGAAGATTATCTTGAAGATGACAAAAGAATCCGAGGTTGGTTGGAGCAAGATTTGTCAAAGTCTTGAGGAATTTCCGAATTAGGCTGATGACGGAAGAGAGCAGGTCTACCACAAAGGAAACGGGCAAAGTCATCATAGAAGTCGAGTGGGAGGATCATGTTGAGGCTGTGGATATAATGGTAAGGTCGATGGACACGTCTCTCTCGTAGCGGTCCGAGTAAGCCAAGGAATTTGACTTTCACCACCAAAACGACGGCAGGTTGGCGCCGAGTTCGAGATTTTGACCTTAGAGTGGGCTGAAGCAGGAGTATGGCACGAGCCCAATGTATGGAATTAAATTATCCAGCAGGGTTGGCCTTGAATAGCGAAGAGACGCGGAGTGTGGTGCAAGGGTCACGGGAGACAAGATGGTCGCCAACGAGCACCTTGGCGCTCGAAAGAGCCAGAAATAAGATTAATACATGGTGTTTGGGTGTCCATTCATCAGGAGATACGGTCGATATATGCCGACAGCAGGTGTGGAAAGTGCTATGTCGAGCGACTTTTGGTCCGTTTTCGGCGACGTGACTGTCACTGTGTGACATGGAGGAAACGGCAAGAAAGCGCGTTTGTCGAGAGTTGTGGTGGAAATCGATGGTGTAAGATGTAGGATTAAGAGCAGGGAAAGTGAAGAGTGTGTGGTTGGGACCGAGTAGCAGTCCCAAAGACTCCGCCTAGACCCATATGCGTGAATGCGACGGCGGCTGCGTCCTCGATGATTTCTCCTTGTATCTTCTGCCAAGGGAGCGAGAGAGGCTGGGGGGTGCGTTGTGTAGGCGGAGACGGTATTAACAGGAGGAATTTTTGAGTTTGGCTACCCAATGATCGAGCAGCGAAGAACACCTCGGTGCTGGCCTTGATCGCTGAGTGGGAAAGCTGGAGGATGTTAGGTCTGTTTTTTCCTGTATTTTACAGCAGACGCACCTCATATGTGACAACAAGAATAATAGCGGATCGACTGGAGAGTAAAAGCCGAGCACATACTCTCCGTCCCATTGGATGTGATAGAGGCGACCAGAGAAGAGAAGGGCTTAGGGACCACAACACTGGTGGAGCTTAAAGTCAGAACGGCAGTAGGAGGACAACGCACCTTTGGCCACAACAAGTAACACCTGGTCCTTTGGAAGGCGGTAGCCTAGTGTTCCCACAGGTACGTGTCTAGTCAGAGGACAACCGGGTCTGTAGTCAGAAGCTCGAAGACCAACTGAATACCAAGTCAAGAACTTGTCGAAAGAACGATTGGACAACTCACGAGTGGCATTGTATATATGCTTCCTCTCTGTTTTCCATTGGATAGGTTGGAACACAGACTAGTCGGTCATTGGCATTAAAGTCGCCAGTATAGGCTCGGGGTCCGATGTATAGCACATACAAGGGAGAATGGAGGGTCGCAGCCAGCCATGGTGGTCCAGAAGAAGAATGATGTGATGAGTCAGTGTCGTTACCTGAGGCTTGATTCGAAACGGCGTCACCAATAATCTTGGACGTCCTTATACTCTGCGGCTCTCGCCCCTTATGCACGACTCTTTAAAGCTATCAAACCTTCAACGTCTCCCAATCCGAGAGCGGGTGACTGTTCTAATCTGCCTGTTTTTTCTCAAGTGCTCACGATTTCTTCTCAACAAGCGATTAGCTCACCGAGCAGTGCAGGAAAAACGCGACTTACAGCCGCTTCTCAACCGCATGATTGAGAAATCACAAAAGGCACTTCTACTGCCCGTCTTCTACTGCACTTTGGACCCAAGCGATATACCTTCAATGATAGAGGACGACTTCAATCCCCGCGAAGCCTCTCTCTGCACTCGTATGTCCGGGGCAATGTGTGCTATCCAAGCCCTCTCCGAAATATCGGAATTCGTCGCAGTCGACGCTCTGCCTGACTTATGGCCCCGCATCTGGACCTGGATCCAGTTTCTCATTGCGTACGATCGAGCTTGGGGGCGGTTCGAGCAAGAGCCATGGCTTCCGCCTGCGGCCTGGTTCACTCTTATCCTTTACCTGGCAAACAAATGTTACAACGCTGGAAGCAATGTCATCGCACAAACACCGGGAATTCTCGTCACGCTAGGCGAATCTTGGCACTATTTCCTCAATACCCGGGCCGCCCACCAGAGCAAGAGGCTCCGAGTTGTCACGGTGGCGACGATGCTCTCTGCGGTTAGCTGGAACTATCCCACCACACAGTATTATGAGGAGCTGTTCGAGGGTACTGGTGGTCGCAGTGGCTTTGCCGCCTTGCTTGCAAAAAACCTGCAGATAAGCTTTCCTGAAAATGCCGATTTTTCAACAACTAGTGCCTTGGCTGAGGGATGCAATGTGTCCATGATGTTGATGTCTGTCGTCCGGATCCTCAAGACGGAGCTAAACGAACTCGGTGTCGTGTCGCAGCTGACAACGACCTGCTTATCTCTACTCAAGACAGCGCATATGAGCGCAAGTGACAACAGGGCAACCACAGTTGCAAATAAAACCCTGGATTACCTCACGGCTTCCTTATGGCAATGCCTTGCAGTAGCGCGCGCCGATATGCGGATTTCCGAAGCTCTTCGTGCGGGCCTTCTCTCACTATTGTTTCTCGGGAAACAAAACCAAAACATTGTCCAGAATATGAAGTTCTTCCTTGGTGCGGTCCTCCCAACATTCACAATCTTTCCGTCGGTTGCAGCGGTGTTGGACGATGCTTTAATGCAGGTCGTTCAATTGCTTCCGGAACAGAGGGATCCAGCCAGAGCAGTAACGAGAATAGTAGGAGTGGTACTCACCGAGTAGGACTCAGTCCCATTTTGATGGCCCAATCCCACTCTCGTGGCGCCGAGATAACTTAGCCGAGCTCTTGGAGAGCAACGACAATCACATATCAATCAAAAAAAGATGGGCAATGCAACGCGCAGCGTGCCTCCGCGGCGAGCGGCAGCCCGCGGCAGCGTGGGGTCCGGGGCGAAGCCCTGGTCGGGGTCCGGGGTGGAAAACCCCGGCCGTCGCGGCCGGCGCCGCCACCCTGCTAAAAACCTCCATGCTTACCAAGCAAAGAGGATGAAGTAAGGTGAAATATGACCTCACGCTCCGCGCAGCGGGCCCCGCGGCGAGCGGAAGCCCCCGGCAGGGTGGGTCCAGGGCGAAGTCCCTGGTCGGGGTCCGGGGTGGAAAAACCCCGGCCGCCGCGGCCGGCGCCGCAACCCTGTTGATGCGATGGTTGTCGATCCATCAACTGGGGTTGATATGCGGGAAGCGAGTCCCATTCTGGGGCCGCGGGAGTAGGACTGGGACCCATCAAAGTAGGACTGAGTCCTACTCTGCGAGTCCCAGTCCTACTATTCTCGTATATACTCATCCAGCCACACTTGGGGCAGAGGTAGCAAAGATTTGGACAACATTCGAAGGCATTGCAATGGCGAGAGCTCGAATGTGGACCGACTACAAATCCCCTTTGTTGAAGCCAAAGCTCACTCAACAAGCTTGCGCGTATCCTTTGGCAAGTATTTCATAATATACACTTCTATATAGACTAACAAGCCAAGCAGTGTATCGAGAAATCGATGGAGCGTCGCGCGCTCAAACAATGCTCTCAATGTGCCTTGCGGCTGTACTGCTCTAAAGCATGTCAAAGGTCTGACTGGAAAATCGGGGGCCATCGCTCGCGCTGCGTCCAGCATTGTGCGTTATGGACAATCCGTCATGATTAGATAGGCTACTGATGAATGTCTAGCTTGTGGGGCACTGGTGGATGCACGTAGCCAATCCTTTGTCTCTGCAGTTTTGTTCAAGGCATACCTCGCCCGCAACGTGTACATTGCGACTGGAATCTTCAAACTGCTCTGTCAAGACCTACTAGCGATGCCAGTCGTCCACTGGGTTTGGCCATACGACCATCAAGACCGGTTTAAAATCGACAATTTTACAGGCAATTTCATGTATCAACCTGTAGTGCTTGATGGCCGCGCCAATTTCGGCGACTTCTATACCAGTTCTGAAGCGATGAAACTGGCTTACGGCGCCAATCGCGTCGTCCTGCATGTGCTTGACCTGGGTTTGGCTAAGGTGATGTTGTCCGTAGACGCCACGCAGTGGCCGGCCGATGACGGCGTGCGGGCGGAGATGAAGGAAAGCTACACGCTACCCCTCGAGCACGGTCAGTATCTCTTCTTGTTGCGGTCCCGCAGCGGGGCACTTGTGCGCGGACTCCGCGCGATGGCGGAGACGGTCCACAACCAGATGCTCGAGGTTTCTGTGGAGGATTTTGCGCGATATACCCCGCAGATCACGAATCTTGTGCTCGAGGACGGCGACCAGGCCTTTTCTAGTGCGCGAGCTTTTGTGGCATCCACCAAGGCTTAATATTTGCAGGCCTGTTTGAATTTATACCAGAAGCTAGCGGCGACGATGGACTGCGGATGTTGGAGTAAGAGCGTCTCGGAGATGAAGCAGCTTGCAAAATATGAAGAGCTTTACATATCTTCGCATTTGTTTTATATGCGCAACAAGTGCATTCATCCTATGTACGGGTCCTTATACAATGATATTTCGTTGACGATGAATCGAGAAAGTGGTGGAGATGACTACTTTTGACCGCAAGATGATGTTGGTGTCGGAGGAAGGAGGTGGAGGAGAAAGGTGGGGCCAGAGAGCTTTGAGAGTTGTGGAAAGCAATGGTGAAAGTGCGGGGAAGAGGGCGATGGTGCTTGGGGTCGTAGTCGTGAAGTTATTGATAAATTTCCGAATCGGGCTCGACCATCGAAAAAAGTAGAGTTTTCCACAAAGGAGATGGGAAAGCTTATCCCAGAATATCAAGACAGAGTCGGGGGATAGTGCTGAAGCACCAGTTATAATGGACAGGTCAACGGATGGGTCCACCGGGCAGCGTTGTCGAAGTAAGCCAAGCAGGAGCACCTTGCACCACCAATACGAGAGTCAGCGTGCGCGTAGTGGTCAATTTCAACCAAGGAATAATATAGGGAGGAGCTTTGATATGATTCCACCCTGCAGAGACGCGTCGTCTATAGCGACTGGTTCAAAACCACAAGGAAAGTCGAATTTTGACCGATGAGCAGCGAGAGACAAAACCGTCGTCAACGAGCACCTTCCCCGTCGAAACAGTGGGAAAAAAGATTAATATGAGGCACGTGGGCTTCCGTACACCAGGAGATACAGTCGATATGGAGCGCCGATGAGTGTGGAGGAAGATATGTCGAGCGACTTTTGATGCATTTTTGGTGACGTGACAATCACGTGCTGACCGTGTGACATGTAGTAGGCGAAACTCCAGTGTTTTGGCAAGAGCGATGGCGAAGTGCAAGCCCCCGGGCGGTGAGGATGTGGTGTCCATAATTTGAACGATACTACGATTTGGATTCTGGATGCCTCAGCGCAAGTGCTCTTCTAGTATGTGCGTCGACGACTGTCGATAAAAGGCGTGCAGCAATATGGGAACGGCGTAGGGGCAATTGTTTCGCAAAGATATCGATGGAGACTGGGGAGGATATCTCGGCAAGTAGAAAAAATCTTCGAAAGTCGGATCGGAATGGGGGGGTCGGCCGGGGCAAGCGAGTGAAATAGTGGGAGTACTATGGCGCGGCAGGTACAGTCGTTGGATAGCACGACGAGGTCGGAAGATGAAGCAAAATCGTGAGTCTAGTTGGGTGTAGTGGTAGACCCGAGCTTAGGCGAGACTCTTGAGAACGGCTCGTTCTATACGGGATCATGATGGCGACAGGTTTGTCGCTTCGGGACGAGGGAAGGAGTTGGCAGTGTTGTTAATGGCATATCAGCGAAAGCACAGTTTCTTTCGGCGAGAAAAGGCCAGAATCGTCATTCCAGTGCTGCTGTGCAGGTGCATCCTGGTGGCAGAGGAGCGCGATGCCGATAATGGCCATGGAGGAACCATGACTGAGATGCAAGGTGAAGTTGCGAAGGAATAGTAATCTTGTCGGGACCTGACTGCCAAGTTTATCGGCAGCGATCCTTGCTCCCTCCCGAATGAGTTGGGCATGTTGACAAAACAACACGCATGGCTATGCGAGGAACAAGGATGAGCGACAAGCCAGTCTAGAAGCGCAATACGGTTCAGTGTTTGGAAAAAGCAAGAAAGGTAAAGTACACGCACCGCCATTGCCTGCCTATACCCGTTCCAGACCCTCAAGTCGCATCCAATGCTCCTGTCCAGCCGCCCGCGCATGTGTCTGCACATGTTCTCAAGTCCAGCGAGCTAGTCGGTTGGCTGCCTGGCAGAGGCCATTCTAGCTAGTGTGCGTGTCAGTGCGTTGCACAGTCCGGCTGAAGACCACGCACGGAATATCGAAGAGTTGTGCTCGCATTGTTCGGTGGTGGTGGTCGGGAAGAAAAGAGAAGAGGAACGTGATCGTGGCCTGTCATCGGCTCACAACGCTTTCTTTGCGCTTTCTTCTTGGAAATATCTCTCTCTCGTCAGGAAAAGGTGTCGACCGCGGCCAATCCTGGCGATACCAGGCAGAATATACACTACTGCAAGGATGGGATGTTATTCTGATCTTCTCCACCGATGAATTCAAAAAGCCTAGAAGATATCTTCATTGAGATTCAATATTCAGAAGCCTTATGATCGGTATACCGTGACAAGGCTGCCCTTCTCTTCGAATCGACCACCATTGTTTCGCGCGCACTTTTGAAGCACGCGCATCCCACAGCAGCCGAACACTCTCGGTCCAGAGGTCTTCAACTTGAACGGGCTCTGCATACTTCACACACAACCGAATCCGCGCCAGCCGCCCCACTCATCATGAGCTCAGCAGCCTCAGCCTTTCTCGCTGCCAGTGGCCACCCGCGTGAGTCCCTGCCAGTGCCCGCCGCGCCGCCGCCCTCGCTGATCGCCCTGCAGAATTCATCATCAACTGGGTCTCTTTCTGGATGGACCCGCGCACCGAGGCGTTCTTCGAGAGGTACCACTTCGACATCGTCCTCGTGCAAGCAGCGAGCCTCGCCATCACCGCCGTCCTGTCGCTCTACCTCGTCTACTCCTTCCCCACGCCATGGAGGACCTACTTCATCTTCTTCCCCCAGCTGCTCGGGTACACGCTCGCCGTGAATCGGGCCGTCGCGGGCCAAACTGCCATGCGCGTCGATCCGTTGTGGGAAGTACAGCGGTCGCTGTGGATATTTTGCCAAATGTACGTGTGTACGGTACTAGTATACTCCCATCGTCTACCAATCCATATCCATCCCCACTACAGGTTAACGTCCATCCACCAATGTCTATTCAGCACGCCCGGGACTTCCATCTCGCTGTGTCTGTGGCGCCTCCGGCAAAGTGCGACGATAACAGTTGGCGGATTGCTTGTCCAGGCATTGTGTGTGCTTGCTTTGCGGCGCATCGTCCCCGAACTGTGGATACGGAGGGCAGCAGCATTTCGGCAGCGAAGGCTGGTGGAGGCAGCCAGGTTTTCTTCGGGAATTCGTCGTGCCTAATGCATAAGGAGTAGACCGTTTCTTGTTCTTGTAAGCTTGCAAATGATCGATGTTTTCTTGTTGTAATGAAACAAATGGGTACGAACTGACAAACAGATATGTGCAACTGTAAAGAGGAGCTTGAGGTGAAGATAGGAAAAAGAGGCTGCGTCACGCTGACTCATGTGTGACGCCGCTGCGACAAACCTCCATGTCGATGGATGTGGATACTCGGCGAATGAATGGCGACCTTCTTCCGGAGAAAGTCCTAGAGCAGATCCTTAAAGCAAACCTCTGCATAGACGTTGACCTCTTCAACGATGTTTCCGATGACGCCTTCGCAAAATTTGAGGAATCAAGCGCCGCATACGTGGCAGTGTGTAGGTCGTGGTCCCGCGTGGCCATTCCGTGGCTTTATGAGACTGCGATTGTCCGGTCTACGTCGCAGGCGCGGGTGCTGGCGAACACCCTGGAGAAGAACCCTGAATTGGGTTGCTACATGAAGAAGTTGCGCGTGGAGGGTGGGTATGGCCAGTATATGCTTACGATTCTGAAGCGCACGCCCAATATTTCGCACCTGTCTCTCTCTATGGATATCTGGGATCCTGACACGACGGAAGGCCTCTGCAGTGGACTCTCGCTCATCAATCCTTCGTGTCTTGCCCTTCGCGACACTGGGGTTTGTAAAGGCAATGAAGTGGTAAAGAAACTTGTCGGCGCGTTGGATGTCGCGCTTGTGGAGTGGAAAAACCTGGTGCGTCTCCTCTCAAAATGTCTAAGCTCCACGTATGACTTAGCCCATCTTCAGACCGTGTTTGTATCTCCGTATATCGACAATGCTGGCTGTGCAGGAGACGTCATTGCATCGATGTCTGTTTTCAGGCGACTCCAGACGGTTGTTGTCCGTAACAAACGCGGAGCACAATGGGCATATTCCAACTTTATTCCCTGCCCTCTGAAATCCGTTCGAGTGATGGCTCCACCCACTGGCAAGGAAGATATGGGCAACGACAGACTGCAAGCGCTTTTGACTTATGACATGGCACCGTGAGCCATCTCTGGTGGATGATGCTGATGTTGCTCACATATGGTGTAGGGATGCCCCGGTCATAGAAACAATCATTCCCCGAAAAAGTCGTAGGTTTGTCCCTATGGCGGGTCAGACAGAACAGCTTCAAGACTACATTTGGTCCCGCATTCTTTACTTTGCTCTGGAAGTCGAAGAGCGTCGGGATGGGTTATATCGCAACAATTATCAGAAGACGGGGCCATCGGCATACGGTTACCGCCAGAGGGTTGATCCCCTTCTAGTCTCAACACGCTTTCTTGTAGGTTCTTCTACGTTACTGTCCAGTCACAGTAGGCTTACCATATCCATAGCGGCTGGGAATCCCGCATTTCTACGACACATTGCTAGTGCCGAGTCGGGACGATATCTTGGAACAATACTTTCCGTCATACCTGTATGTCGAACACCTGACTGCGCGGCAAATCGGCACCGTTTCTCGCTTTTCTATGCCACAAATCGCCATTCCTGACACGATGATATCGAGCTTGGCGCGATCCTCCGGACGCACACTCGTGGACCTGGGCCTGAATCTCGGGCATCACAATACAATCAATGCTCTCGAGTTGGAACAACTTCCTCAACTCCGTGTGTTACGTCTTAGGGGTCATGTCCGTGCGGGGCCTGTCGGCGAGTTCCGTCCACATATGCTACCGCGCCTCGAGAAACTATGTGTTAATGGAGCGACTAATTCTTTTGCGCAAGCAGTGGCGCGGATGAGGTGGGCAATCGAATTGTTAAAACAATCACTCGAGTTCATAACTGACTCCGACACCGCACAGTCTGCCCTGCTTATCGTCGCTCACGTTTGTCTTCCCTGCTACCTCTCCAATCAAGCCTGGCATTAGCGGCGCCGAGGCCGCACAGTCGCTACTCGCCGATGTTCTCAAAATCCACGGCGACAAACTCACGCAGCTCACGGTCAACAGCTTCGACATTGTCAGCGGTGCGACCATCGATGACTGTCCTAAACTGGAGAAGATTTATCTGCTGTTGGGTCCAGTTCGTAGTCCCGAAGATGGTTTTCTCCGTTTGTCTGACCATTCATCAGGGCATGCGACCACCCAGGCTTGGTCTGTTGGCCCCTCCCCGAAAGAACCATCTGCAGCTTATCAACATCGTACTCTTGCCCGACCTGCCACCAGACTATCCTCTGCCCGTCTGGTTCGGGTCTGCCGACTCTTCAAGCCGACGGCGTCCCCGGGCACTGATCAGCCCTTGCCCAGCTGCAGAATGGTCTGACTTTCTCACCCAGCTCGATGCTGCGACGCGCACCCTGCTGGCCTTGCAGCAAGTAACCTTTGCGTGGCTGGCTTGGCCCACAACCGAGTGAGTGTCATCTGCACCGGCATCCCGCTCTTGCACATGTTGCTCTTCAAGTTGTCGTTTCTAACTTCTGCCGTAGACGTGATATCGCAGCCGAACCGTGGCTCCCCGAACACAAAATACTCGAAGCACTCAAGGTCAAACTCGTAGACAAAAACGGGAAATGCTGGCGCGCTAGATTGATTTGAAAGTGCGAAAACCGGAAAGGCTTACCAATCTAAATCTCTACTATGACTCTACTTACACTTTTGCTTTCGGGCTGTCTGCCTCATTTCATTTACCGCTGAATGCTTATTTCAATCGAATCCAAGCTCGCCAACGATGTGTTTCCAAGAGTATGCCAATATCATGATCAGGTGCAACTAACTTGAAGCTACTAAGTACTATATCGGTATCAGGAAATTATGACCACACCGTGAGCAAACTACATAAGTGGTGAACAATCTAGCGAATCAGGTGGTCGGTCTAAGCGAGACTAGTAGCTAATTGTCATTTGCGAATCGATGGGTATTATACCACGAGACCAACCAGAAAAGGGGCGGAGGTGTGGATTGCGACGAAGGGGTGGTATCCAATGAGGCTTGAGCACGAGCGCAATGTGCACCGACTCCAAGGCAAGAAATCGCGGGTTATGACCGCAAGATTTCAACCAACAGGATAAGCGATGTGTGGAAAATATCGGATAGGTTTTTGGTCCATGTTGGGCGATGCGATATTCACGTGTGGGACAGAGGCAAAAGATGGAAGTACGTTTTTGGTGAGGATTTCGAGGGTAGCGGCCGTTGTCGTCACGCTCAGGGAGTGTAGACCATGGTATGCTTTCCGATCATTGTGCGAAACTCGACCGCAGAAACGATGGAGAATTGGACGAGGGCGTTGGTCTAGAGTTGTCGAAGAGAAGCAAAGCCTTCCTTTTGCCTCTCTTCTACGACAAAGACCTGCGATACCCATTGTCGAGGCGGGATTTGGAATTAGCGAAATGATGTGCGGCCTTGTGTTGTATGCAAATTGCATGACGATGGGACTGATGTAGTGATGGGCAGGTCCGGTTCGGAAAGTCGGTCCGAACCCGAACCAGACCGGACTGAACCCAGGTTCGGGGTTCAGGTTCAGCCAACACCGGTTTTGAACCGAACCAAGGCCCAAGTTCGGCCGGGTTCGGCCAAATTAGGCCGAAAACGCCGGTTCAGAGGCCGGTTCGGACCGAGGTTCGGCGTTCAGGTTCGGGAAATACCCATTTTGAACCGAACCCGGGGTTCTCGGTTCGGCCAAAAGTGGCCGAGAACCGGACCGAACCGGACCTGAGCATCACTAGACTGATGGGAGCGATATTGAATAGCCAGTCAGCTGAGAAGCTTTCTGGACTACATTTTGCGGTTTTCGGTGAGGGAATATGACGAATGCGGGGGACAAAATGGCTACCGAAAGTCGAGTTGTGAAGGAAGAAGACGGGAGGGAGAAAATCGAGTAGTGTGCCATGTCATGCTATCTTGAAGACACATAAACACTGGATAGTAAGTATAAGCAGGAAAGCCGAGTGAAAGGGAGATGACACGCACATGGCCCTGATTAGGGCTGTAGGCCGTCGCCGTATACTACGGCGTACGGCCCCCCGTAATACGGCGCCGTAGCCGTACCGTATGGCACCCTGGTGCCCCAAGCATACGGTACGGCGACGGGACGGCCGTGACGCCGTAATGACCGTCCCGTATACGGTGACGGTCGCCGTATACGGCGGAGCCTCGGCTAGCGTCAATAATGATCCGAAAGGCGGTGATCCGTCAGGTATCGGACCCCCGGACGCCCGTTGCTAGGGCCCAGCGGCTGTCGGTGGTCAACCAACACGGCCTGGCTGGCCTTTTAAGCGGCCCAGCACTCCAGGCAGGCGCTTGGCACCGCCGCCTGACCCGGCCCGGCCGCTCAGAGGCAGACTTTGGCCCAAGTCACACCGTGTGACTTGGTGGCCGTCACCGTCACCGTAATGCGGCGTGACGGCGCCGTCCCGTACCGTAAGCGCCTTGAACTCGAGGGCTTACGGTACGGCGTGGGGCCGTCCCGGCGCCGTCAGAGGCCGTACCGTACACGGCCGTAGCCGTATACGGTACGGTCTACAGCCCTAGCCCTGATCAGCCCACCATCATCCCACTCCGAGGTCGTCAGTAAAAGCGGGTTCGCGAAGTGTGTGGCCGGGTGCAGGCTTGCGCAGGACATGGGACTACTAGATGGTTAGTCAAACACGTCAAATTTTGGGGGCCTATGCACACACACACAACGGCATCTTTTGCTCGATGAGGAAAGCACCTGAGATAGCTGCAAGTGAGGCTGCATTCAAGTGTCTGGTCAAAGTCTAAGAACATACGATGTTGAAGCAGTGCCGTGGGATTTGCCTTGTGGCGGAAGCAGATGCGTCCGTCGAGCGGGGAGTGTCCGCGTGGGTCGTAATCAATGAAGAGGGCGAAGAAAGGGAACTGTGGAAGATAAGAAAGGAGCAGAAGAGCGAAAATATGATGCCTCCCGAGTCCCGCCTCGTCATCCCAAGTCCGACGGCACCGGCCATTTCAGCTGAGCCCCCATACCGGACGGGCTATCGTCAGAAGGCGGGCAAGGTTGCCGAGGATGAGGCAACGAAAGAAGAAGAAGGGAGTTAGAAGAAGGGAGTTACGGTCACATGTCGCCTGGGCCCTTGAATCAGGACAGCCACCCAACAACTTGAATGTCGATGCGTTCCCACTTTTGAAACCGTGTACGAAAGCTCCTGCAGCCATCGAGCTTTCCGAGTCGGAGATTCGTTGGACACCGGAGGGGTGGGTCACTGTGCCACATAAAGAGCTGGGAGTGCTCGGTATTGTTCTCAAAGCCTATAGTGGGTCCTATGCGCGCGTCAGGGCTAATTTTACTGTTGGCGGCAGACCCGAGGGCTGTGGCTGTCAGGGGAGACTGCAGGACGCGATGTGATCTTCCGCGGAAATTCGGCGGCTTGACGAATGTTTTCTTTCCGTTGTTGCAAGTGAATTGAAGTGATCTTTTCTTGGGCTCGCTAAAGGCAGACAAAGGACGAAAAACACCCTTAAAGACTTTAAGACAAAGAAACAGAACGTCGCAAAAGAGCTCGAAACCTCGGCGCCCGCAATGGATCTTCTTTGTTCACCCTCTAGAGGCTATAAAGCGAATCCCACACCTGCGCTCAAGTTGCCCCAATCCCGCCCCCAACCATGAACTCTCTCAACCGGGTTCACCGCTGGACTCCAAGTAAGGCATTGCAAGCTGCAACGGTTCAACTGCTGACCACCATCCAGGACCTCGCCCTTTCCAAGGCCCTTTCATTGCCCACACCCAAGCATTCATCGAAAAGTACCCGCCCGAAATAGTAATAGCCTCTGCCATCGGGGGCGCTACAATCGCGATGCTTTGCTACGACGCCCGGCCGTACGACTTCAATTACCTGGCCACATTCAAATCGCCAATCTACAGCCGAACTTTCAAGCTCCTGTGGCTAGTACCCGCATGGCACGTCCAGCGGGCGGTCCTTCGCTGTGCCAAGGCACTCCAGGGTCATGCAGACCATCCGTTACTCGAAGCCTTGATGTCATTTGGTGTCCTCGGCCAGCTGTGCGTGTCCAATTAGTTCCAGCGACGTGTCCCGTTCACCGATTATACTGCGGCAGGTTCTCATACAAGCGCCGCTTCGCTGAGACCTCTCCGCTCTTGTCGAGACTCTCTCAATATGCGATGATGATAGTTGCTCTTTTTGTGGTCGAAGCTCTATGTGTGTTCGCCTTCCGCCTGATTTTCCTCGGTTGGCAGAGACAGTCTGCTCGATGCCGGTGCTGCAACGCGCACCCTCCAAGACGTGAAAGTGTTGCCGCGCTAGATTGAACTGCCGAAGCGGCACTGGTGTTCAATCAGCAGCTCTGCAGCAGCCTCTGCTTACTATTTAGACGTTTTTTTTTCTTGGTATAAGCCATGCATAATATCCCGTTCTCGTCGCTGATTCGATCTATTGGTCTGGGCTGCTTCTACAGCCGGTTTATCCCAGTTAGTGGCAGCCCAGGGCACACGTTATAAGGCATCGGAGGTGGCGGTAGGAAATGATGTTGTCTGGAAGAATTCGACACGCCGGATAGTACTCGGATAGGGTTTTCTTCTAAACGTGCAAGTGATAATTTTGTTCTCTCTAAAAGTAACAAATTGGCGATGCCGGATCTGGATAGCGAAGGTAATGATTGGAAGTAGCGCGTTAAGGACCTTAACATGCGACTACGACAGAATTTTAAACCTGATTTCGCGTCAGCATTCACCAAACGAGCACCAAACACTAAAACTCACCAGCCTTTCCTTGACCTCCTCCAGTTTTTCCTCGACAACCGTCTCCGCTCTTTTCTCTACCTCCTTCGCGACCCCCAACGCCTCCGTGAGCTTCAGCCCCGTGGTCTCCTGGACCTTCTGGAGCGCTGCCGTAACGCCGCCCTTGGTCGTTTCGCTCGCCGACTTTACCCGCTCCTTCAGCATCTCCCAGCCCATAGCCGTATGCGCCTTCCCGATCTCGTGGGTGTGAGCGAGCCCCGGAGTGTACTCGTCCTCGAGGTCGGAAGCATACCGGCGAATGTTAGATGTGAGTTTGGGATTGAAATGTGTGGCGGCAGCCACTCCAAATGTTGGTGGGAGGATAACACGGAGTGGGAGTGAGCGGTGGCGGGCGAGAATGGCGCCGGAGAGGAACGCGACGCCGACATAGAGTATCCCAGGCACGAGGCGCTCATCGGCCGGGAGCAGGGACTTGATTCTAGCTGACGGTCTCGTCAGAAGGGCAAAAAAAGTGCGAGAAAAGTGGTAGACGTACTTTCGACCCTGTTTTCTACCCCAATCCATCGCGAAACAAGCCCTTGCACCTGCTCGTGGGCGGCGTTGACTTGGCCGGTGGCTGCGAGACGAGCAGCGCGGATATGGTGCTCTAAAGCAGAGGGCGTGTCGAGCAGAAGCGTGTCTCGGGGCGAGTCGGGATATATCGACAGCTGAGACGGAGTGAGTTATAGCACGGACACGGAAGGTGAGGCACCTTGGATGGGGATGGGGTCCCGGAGCCCGACATGGTTAGCGGTCAAGAAATGTGAATGTGACCACTACCACGATTAGCTCTTGCTCTTGCCCATATCAAGTCATGGTTCCTCCCGCAAACTCCTGCTTTCAAATCGCTCCGAAAGTGACTCTGCGCTACGAAGTTTGCGGCCTAGGCTAAAGGAGCAGTCGTACCCACCACCTCTCAGCTTATGATACCCGTGCCCGACATCCAGGTTGTTGGCCAACGCATTAGTCCGTCCATTCACGCAAACGATATCGAGCACTCTTTCTAACAATGCCTTTCGCTCTAGGTTTTTCTTCCCCGACATGAGAGCGCCATATGAAAATCTATAGGTCAAGGCCGTGTGGTGGACACGATATCATGTTACTGTGAGGCGTCGATTCCTTCCGCGGAAGAGCTCGTTGGATGAACCACCAAGAAGATAACTCGACGGACTCTAGAATCCACGGAAGTACGCCCATTGACCATCTCTCTCATACTCAGACTTAAAACCTCGATATGCAGACAGTTGCGCCGAATCTATCTTCTTTTGCTGCCCCTGGTCACCATAAAGTGCGTCTGGCTTAAGCGGAAACAGGCCTAATATCCCTTCTCAGCGCCCATCCTCGACAGTATACGAAGAGTATTATTCTTCGCTCTTCAACAAGCTCGAATTCGACATCTCCGACTCCTCAAATACTACCCATCACTTCCGCGTACATATACAACCCATCTCCTCGCTTCCTTCCCATTGCCTGCGAGGAAATCCAAGCACCAAAGAGACGCCGCTTCCGTCATACGGCACAGTCCTTTGATACTCCTCTCTACTCTAAACCACGGCTACCGACATTTCCCAGAGTTCCAAATCCACTTCTCCCACCATCCGTCTCCACCAAAAGTTTACGCTAAACGCGCTTTCCTGCCCTCCCTTATTGCGTCACACCGTGACGGTCACGTCGCCAAAAATACCCCAAAAGTCGCTCGACATATCTCTTTCGACACCCACATGCGGACGATATCTACTGCTTCCCCTCATGGATGGACACCCACCCGTCCTGTATCAATCTTACTACCGGCTGTTTCGAGCGGGAAGATGCTCTTTGGCGACGGTTTTGTCTCCCACCGTCTTTCTGCCCAAATCCGCATTTTTGCGTCAGTGGGGGCTAGGGAGCCGGAACAGAGCGCTTTTGGGCGCTGAGGTCTCATCTGGGCTTTGAAATCGACAGGTCTGCGCGTGATGGCCGTCGTTTTGGTGGTGCAGTCCGACTACTTGGGCTTTACTATGGCAATGCATCCGGATGTGGCCTTGGAGGCTGCTATTTGGTCGAACCCACGTGTAATGCGCTCTCCCCTGGCCCGAAATCTCGGTCTTTTCACATCGACTTTCGCCAAAGCCCTCGACAGACGAGCCTTCTCCTCTTTCACTTCCGTGTTACGGCATCGCCCAAAACGTATCTCTTTCCACACGTCCTGGTGGGCAATATCGACTGCATCTCCCTCGTAAATGGACATCCATCTGCCCTATATTAACATCATTTCGACTCTTATGAGCGGGAAGGGGCTCGTTGGCGACGGTCTTGTCTCACACTACCTTGCAACCAAAAGTCGTGTTTGCTCGTCATTCGGGGCCAATTGCCTTGTCTAGCATGTGGAATCAAGCATGATGTCCGCTATATATCACTTGTTTACCACGATCATCGATGGGCAAGTCTCTGTGAGCTCGCCGGAATCATCCTCTGTTGTTCCTACCACAATGACTCGACCTTCTGAGAGGACCTCGCTCTCAACACTCATGGAGACTCACACAAACGAAAATATTTATCCCCCCTCCAACGACCGACATCTTCGCCCAGGCCTCAAGTCTTTTGCCTCGTGTCACACCGTGACAGTCACATCGCCAAAAACGGAGTAAAAGTCGGTCGACATAGTTCTTTCTACACCCGCCGAAAGGTTATACCCAGCGTATCTCCTGGTGAAAGGACACCTCCTCGACATACTTTAATCTTCTCCTCCCTGTTTCCGAGCGTCAAGGTACTCGTTGACGACGGTCTTGTTTTGTGCTGTCTTCCAACAAAATCCGCTTTTCTTCGTCATTCAGTGCCATTCGTTGTGGATAACGTCGTTCCGCACTTCGGAGTCATGTCAGGGCTCCACATCACACACGTTTCTCGTCACAATATGCAACTCTGCGAATGCTCGCCGTTGTTTTGTGTCGCGGCCTGACCGCTAGTACCCGATAAATCCGTCAGCCAACCATACCACTCTCTCTGGAGCCCAGACATTATCCATGCTGGCAATCTCCCGTCTCTCCGGTGCTCCTCAATGTCCCCTCTTCCTTCGTCCATCCGGCCATATCCGAAAATTTCTGGCTACATGTTTCATCCACCGCCAAAGGATGCCTATCTATTGCTGTAGCGCCACTCTCACCGCCTTTCCTGTGGTCATTTCCTTCCACTTTTCTTGTTTGCGAGGTAGCAGGTTATCACCGATTCAGAGATCGTGCTCTCGAGGGCAATGTGGAGATGATATTCTTTTTTTTTTCGGCCTTCTAAAACTTGCATACTTCCACCTTGGACTACTTCTAGTCATAACTCCCATCTTCAAACGAATGTAATTCTGCGCGGTGGAATCTAGTATACTTCTTCATCGGACGACGACCAGTACTCCACCTTTTCCTTTCGTTCCGAGGAATGCCTTACTGGATCATGATACTCGAAAGGTTAACTCCTTGTATCTCTTGCCTTGTAGCCGTATATGTATCTTCCTTCTCTGTTTACCAGTTTTATCAAGAAGATATTCATTATTTGCCAAGATTGCAAGAAAACGAGCATTACGAACGCCGGATCGCAGCGGCGGCAATTATGCCGCTTAGAGTCTGTCTCCGTCGCCTCAGAGCAGCCATCCGTCGCCTCCACAAACCCGGGAAAGTCCAGCGCAACGCAAGTACGCACAGTGCATTGCCCACCAATATACCCATCATCGCCATCGTACTTTTCCGGAGTCTCCACAAGAACGGCAAGGTCTCGTCATAGAGGTAGTTGTGGGTGGACAAAAACCTGCAAATAAGTATATGCGCTTAGTTGATTATGATAGAGCGTCATTGTCACCACGCACAGTATAACCAAGATCCACCAGGATTGGAAGCAAGGACTGCCCATTGCGACGAGGCCCTCGATGGCACAGTGGACGTAAACTCGACTAAACAACAACAACACGCTAGAGCCAACGACGTTTCCTAGCCAGTGGCCATGGTCGGGGGAGTGTCCGGTGTACAGTGCGTGAAGCGACATGATTAAGAGGACCAGCAAACTGATTGTGTGGGCAAGGGCTATGTCGAGCTGGTACTTTTCGGCGAACGCGATAATGCGCGGGTGGGAGAAGGCATGATCGATTTCTGAGTAGCACGGTCAGCAGGGGTGGCAGTAGCACACGGGGACTGACTTAGCGCGAGTCTGTCGGTGAGTGTCCACACTTGCATTATGATGTCAACTTAAACGTGGTATCGATGAGCTTTTGTGTCGCTGTTTCGTTGAGTTTGACTGCTTGTTCGTTGTCAAGGGGGTGGGTGGTGTCGATGGCCCTTGGCGCTTTCAGCGGCTGCCGCAGGCGGGAAACGTAGACGGCGTCAAAAGTCTGCAGGAATCGACATGGTGGTTGACCCGAACAGAAGGTCACTGGTGACGGCTTTGACGTAACCCATTTGTCTTAATGCGGACATTGCGTCCAGCTTTGGACACCACCTTGACCTTTGCTTACTTTTCCACGGATTCTGCAAAAAACAAAACAAGTACGCTACCGGTTATTACAGCGAAAAAACGAATATTTATCGATTTAATAATACGCGATTAATGTACGGATATTATGAACTATGAGAATGTCCTGCGTTAGGCACTGGCGGTGGTAAATCAACGTCGATGACCCATCTTCCAATCCCGAAATAGTCTTCAGAAAAGCCCCACATCTGGGTATGGCCCCGGAGCAACACATCTCCCTTTGGGCCTTGGGGATGGGCGGTACCGGCCAGAAAACTCTGCCACCTTCTCGCCGCCTCGCGCTCCCGCCCGCGCCGCGCCAGACCCAGAAAGTAAAGGCGGACGGCGTGCTTCGCTGTCGTCGACAGTCCCATGGCGTTGTTGAAGGCGTCTGCGGTCAGCGGACTACGCAACAGGAGCTGAAGTCGGCTCAGCAGGGAGATGGGAGTGGTCGGGGTGTCTCCTGTGCGTAACGTCAACAGTGGGCAGTCGCGATTGGTGGTGGGAACGACGTCGATGACAGTATGGGCGGGAATAATGTTGTGGGGCAAGACACGACCGAGAAGCACGGGGTCTACCGGGTCTGCGAGCAAGTCCACTGGGAAGAGGTCATGTCGATAAATGGGTCGCGCTGCTGGTTCTGTTGACAAGTCGTAGGGCCTGGGCGAGGGAAGGGCAATTGGCCTAGGACGCGGGGTTGGGGGAGGCTATCGGGAGTTCATCGAAGGCTTCTGCGAAGAGAAGGGCATACACGAATCTGAAGGGAGAAGGTTAAAACACAGCTTGCAGTCTACAGCTAGAAGACTCACCGCCTCGTATTGACCAGCGGTATTGTCAACATTGGATACCCAAATCTTGGGCTTGTTAGACCAAGTTGGGGTGAGCCAAGAGTTCTAAACTTGCCTGCGGGATGCTGAAGCTGGGTTCGGGAGCCGTCTAGTAAAATTGGACGCGGACTCGGAATCAGAAGGTGGCGAAGGGCAGTGGTGATAAATGTCAAGAACGAACCGGTTCGTTGCTTCCCAGTGCTTGTCCCGTCTAGTACGGATGCTGTTAGTCAGAGAGGACACCACAAATACCGCAATACGCACAAAATTCGACTCTGGCGACAGAGACTGGAAGCCTGAGTACATCGAGGGAGAGTTTGAGATGATTTGCGATTCGTGGAATATTTCTTTATGTATGTCAGCCATGATAGGTCGATACAAAAGCACCAACCGCGCACAATTGATCCAATTGAGCGTCAATCGGCGGCGGTCATCGTTTTGACGACCAAACGCTGGATTTTACTCCACATTTGGAGGGGGCCACGCGGTAATTTGATGACAATTGGATTTGTTCAGTGGTCTAGAGCGTAAGCAATGATATCGTCAGTACCCAGCGCCAGATGAGCAGCTAACACCTAGTGTAATGATGCGTTTTCACGATCTAACAGCGATCCACGCTCCCGGGCCCATTCAAGTCACGGTACCACGGTGAACCTGGATGATTGGGTCGTGGTGATTAAAGCGTCGGATTTTCAATGGTTTTCGAGCGATCGACATGAGCAGTACTTGCATTAAAGGCTGAAGTCGCCTCCGCCCTTGAAGCCTCCGCTGGCGACCTCAAGAAAAGTTAAGAATGAGATTGACGGGATGCGAAGTTGCGGCTGTCCCGACCAGCAGAGGCATCACATCTGGGATTCTTCTGAGCTGTTCGGCCAGCGGCAGTCGAGCGGGCCAGCGAGAAACCACATCGGGGTCAAGATCAGAGAAGTGTGACACTAGTCACACATCACTCCCGATTTCGCGATCATGATCACCTCATCGGTTAACCACCTCCGATCCGCCACGAATCCATAGCCAAAGCCCGCAAGGGGGAAGCTGCGGCCCATCACAGGCACTCATTGACTACCCCCGACCCACTTGTATGTTGCGAACGAGCTGAAATTCAATTTCCACTGGCACCGCGGCATCGGATTTTCGTCATTACCATTATGATACTTCTGCGTTTTGCCAGACCTTCGGAGCGGTTGCCTCAGCTTTCTAACGACTGTCAATGCATCATACATAGCTTTCCATCCTCCGCCGACGTCCTCATTCACTGTTCATAATGGGTCGACTCGATTGGTCCCTCGACGGCAGCCTGGCAGCAAAAGTCTCGAAGTTCTTCCGGTGGCGCAAGTACCGGGCCCCGTCATCTCGGGATTGCTGGAAGTATGAAAATCTGACAGTATCTCGAAAGAATGGGTCTCTTGAAGTTCACTGTGAATCCTCGCTGGTATTTTTCGCCGATTTGAAGGAGACCAAACACAGTGGCTGCAGGAATTGTGCTTAGGGAAACGGTCAAGGGGCATATGGTAAGAAGTGATTATCCTCGTGCCGTGCCTGTCCATCTGAGCGCCGTTACACAGGCTTAGAGGATGTCTTGTCTTGAGTGGGCCGCGCAAACATTGTTCTCTCGAGCGCGAGTACGTGAATCGACCCTAGAACCCGTGCTATGGCGCTCGAACAAATGTTGCTTCCCCGCGACCTCTATTTTGCTGTTCTACTCGATCTACGCACGGTTCTGCGACAACATGCCCCTGGTACCCGGACCCGGGAGGGGAGAAAGTCGGCTGGCAACCATTCAGACATGGACGATAGGGATTTTACCGCCTTTGCGCATTCTCATGGGCTCTTCTCAGGCTCCATTCCATCTCTCTGTATCGAGATGGAGGAATCAGAGATCATCCCGTCATTCCTGCAGGCAGGGACTGCTTTTTCACATATACGACATGTCCCATCTGAAGGCATGGCCTCACCCACCCACCTCACCCGCTGTTGTCTTCCTCCTAGAATCCTTGCTCTCTCCCCAGTCTCCTGCCACCCACCGCTTCGCTGAGACGACGCCAGAAGCACAGGAGGCACTCTGCGACGTGCGTCCATATGCCGCCGTGACGGCCGTCTTTGCTTCGCTACACTCCTTCGAGAACGGCGGTCGTTTTGAGTACGTCATCTGGTCCTAACGATTCATGTTAAACTGACCATAGCTTTACTCAGTCAAACTGCACTCACCTCGCACCTCCGACCGTTGGGTACTTACATACTGCATGTTTGACGCGACGGAAACTTGAAGCACCTCTTCAAAGCCCAATTTGAATTGAATCAGCTGCGCCAGGCACCCGCAGGCTCCTGGTAAGACTCCATGAGGCCTCAGATAACAATGGCCTGAATTTCTCTTTCATACGGCAGGCCGCTGAACCTGAGGACGACCCCAAAAAGACCCGCCGAATTTTTGTACCCAAAGTCCAGGGTTGCGGGAGATTGTTTCCTTTCCAGTTCTGCTCTGTCTTACCCAAATGTATGCAGGTCGATGGCAGAGCACCTCTTCTAAATACTCCCGCTTGAGCACGTTGCCCGTGTATCGCGGCGGCGTCTCAGCTACCAGCCCCCCTCCAGTATAAGCCAAGCTTGGCCAAAACCGGCGCCGACGGCGTCCCATATTCATGATTAAGTCCGCCGTGTGTTGTTTGTGCTAGAATCTTATATAATATATACATGATATTGTTTTGTCTGAAGGCCACACAATGCAGATGACGGGGTAATATTCATTTCCTGCTCCGTCCGGCTTATCCACCGAAGAAGTGCGATCTGGCACTTGATCTTGGCGTTCTCGTCTTCGATTTCCCAGCGGGATAGACCAATCAGACATTGTGGCGGGGTTGTCGATGTCCACGGTTATTTCTGGGATGAAGAGCCTAGGCCTCGTCACTGAGTCCGCCGCGCGCTTGTCAAAGCTTCACCATCAAGACGAGAGGACTGTAGGGCTCGGCGTGGTGTGTTTGTGGTGATGGCATGGCCCAATTGGATTTGGGTGTAGCTTAAAATGGAAGCCATTTGATTGATTTGATGATGTCACAATATGTTACTGCAATTGTTCTTATGTGTTTAGCTTGCATTTTGACCTTAATAATAGCTGGAAAAATCCGAAAAAATGCGACAATGCTTTCAGATTATCATTATACTCTATAGAGCCATGTCACCCACAGAAATAATTTACATGACTTATACTGTACTATTTCAATCAATTAGTCCTGTCATGGTCACATTGACTTTTTTGGCCGAAAATTTTCTGCCTGTCACAGGTCACAGCGAGTTTCTTTGGCCCTAAACCGTCCCAAAATGGTAATTTTTAAAAATTTCTATGCCTATGGCGCGCAGAACTTCCATATAAGGCAGGAGGTCACACCAAATTCACCCCTTGGCTGAATTGCACATTTCTGCCACATGTGTCACAGGTCACAGGCCCGCAGAATTGAACGAAATAGTACAGTAATTACATGAAATTTATATAGAAAAATCAACTAATCAGATTTGCCATAGGGCTTGGTTTGTAAAGATTTTGGAGGTTATCAAATGGTTTGATAAAAATAGCCTCTGAAACCCTGTTTATAAACCAGTTTTTAGGTTTTATAAACCAACTGAGCCGGTATGACCGGAGAGATCAAAATTGCCTTTTTAGGAAGTTTTTTTGGTGTTTTAACTTCATGACTTTAAGATTCATAGACATTAGGGGTTGAAACAGCAAGGTTATATCAACGATGACTTGGAAATTTGCATAACATGAATTAGTTATATATAACGTGTACAATTTACTTATCAGCAGATTTTAGATCCCCTGTCATGAATCGTTTAGAACACTTAAAAATCATGATAACCTTGATAATAATTAATCTGTATGGTTAGTATAGTATAGTTACACAGCC